TCAAGTGGTGATGGAAATTCTCTTCACCCCACCCCGTCCTTTGGAAACAAGTCGCTCAAGCAAAATATGGGATGAACGGCATTGATTGGCTACCTAGATCCCCTCCACACAGATCCTCAGGAGTCTGGAAATGTATATCCTCCATCAGATCTAAGTTCATTTCAAGAACTCGATTTGGCTTGGCAATGGTCTGAGAATAAAGTTTTGGACTGATACCTGGATAGGGACCTCCCCACTTTCCCTAATCCTTCCATCTCTTTTCCTTATTGCCCGCAACTCAGCGGCTCTTATCGTCGACTAGGCATCATTCACTGACTCCACCCAGGTCTGGACACCAATTTTTAGACGAAACCTTAGGAAGCAAGAATCCTCCACCCTAATATCCCTCCTTCAAACCTTAGAGACTTGCTTCAGTACTTGGTATAGACCAGACTCTTTGATTTGGTCCCCAGCCCCCTCAGGTACCTTTTCAGTATCTTCTTGCTATGCATCCCTACTACTCAACCCCCTCATTAACCTAACATGGTCGTTACCTATACCTCACAAAGTTAAGGCTTTTATTTGGGTTCTCTTACATGGCAAAACCCTCACCCTAAATCAACTTAAAAAGACTTTGCATTCCCTAATCGATGCATCCTGTGATTTCAAGAAAAGGAGACTATTCCTCACCTCTTTCTTCACTGTGAAGTAGCTCAATGACTCTGGTCTTCCCTTCTTAACCTATTCCGCCTTCAATGGGTCACCCCAGCAGATTTGACCCAATTCTTCAAAACCCACTTCACGCCTCCCTTCTCCAAAAATGGCAGGAGACTGTGGCATCTTGCTATCTCTAGTTAGAAAGAAATTCCATGACATTTAGAGGAGTTCAGAAAGCTATTGAGGCAGTTTTTAACTCTATAACTGCACTTATTGCTTTTTGGGCCAAATCTCTACCCATTTTTTCTAACCTTCCCATATCTCACTTTCTTAACAACTGGGATTGTCTTTTGTCTCTTGCAGCCCAAATAAACAGACCAACACCATTATGGTTCCCGCCCTCCCTTTGGTTTTTTTAAACTTAATGTAGATGGCTCCTCCTTAGGAAACCCTGGCCCCAAGGGCATAGGAGGAACTTTGTCTGATTCTAATTCAACCATCTGGACATTCTCAGAATACATTAGTCATCATGACTGTAGTTTTGTAGAGGCAATGGCCCTTCTGGTTGGTTTAAAAAGGTTATATGAGCTCGCATCAGCAGCACAAGGCATCATAGTGGAATCAGACTCTTTCAATACAGTCTGCTGGGCCACACAGACACAGCAGCCTCCCTGGAGGCTCTTAGCTATTTTGGACCACATCCGTTTCTTATGTACCTCCCTTCCACAGGTGTCTGTCACCCATATCTACAGAGGGGTAAACTTGGTGGCTGGCTGATCGACTAGCCAGGGAAGGTGCAACTCGTGGCCTGTAAACATTCGACCGAAAGGTGCTCAGTCAGTCTACTGAACCATACCCGAAATGTGCAAAATGTAAAGCCCCTCATCTCTATATTTCTTCTCTCTACTCCTTCCTCAATCTCACCTCTTCTTTCTCCTTCTCTTACAACATCCCCTTCTTATCTAGCTATATTTTTATTGTTGATCTCAAGGGGGGGCGGGGGAAGGGGAACAAGGAAAAAAAGAAAAAAAGGAATTTATTTTTTCTTTTTAATAGCAAGGCCTTTACTCGCGGAGGACTACTTTGTGGCCTTTTCTGCCCACAGGTCCCCTGTCCATATACCTCTTGTAGTGCCCCTACCAAGGTTTTTCTCGCGTTGAGCCTCTCGTCTTCTACCTGCACTCCTGACTCTACACAGTCGGGTATTACCGGACAAGGCCTTCTCTCATTCTCTCGGGGAAGATTTTCAGTGCCTCATCTCTTGGCTGGGCAAGATGTCCCTCATGGTCTATCGAATCGGCAATACATGAGCTCCTCATCAATCTCTCTCTTTTCTTGCACTCCCTTTCTCATCCTCTCTGCTTGCACCCGCCTTTCATCTACACTCCTCTCAAAGAACTGGGTAGTCATTATGGGGAGGGTTATTATGCTTTGCTCAAGTGGGTGTCCGTTGGACCACGTCATCATCTACAATTGTACCTGCTAATTCAACCTCCTTGCGTGCGTCGTACTTCAAGCTGCAGTATGATCTCTTCACCACCAGAAATCAGACATCACCACCACAAAACAGACTCATATGCTCCTATACTATCATTTTGTCAGTTGCTGAGGTCCAAATCTCACTACTGACTACCCTCGAGTGGTCTCACATTTATCAAAGGATGCTACCACTAATGGAGGCGCTCGCCTATAACCTTTTGCAACTTTGTCACTCGTTTCAAGAATGCACCGGTTATTCTCATGTATGGCTATGCCCACTTTTTCTTCATTTCGTTTTTCTTTTCCCTATTTTTCTTTTTGTCGGTTCTCCCTCTGACTCTTATTTCTCTTTTATCTCTTCTCTCTCAATTGTTGTCTAAGCACCCAATCTGTGGGACTGCCTTCTTTAGGATTAGATAAATTTGTAATTCCTTTTCTTTTAATACAGTTAACCTTTTCTCAAAAAAAAAAAGTCCATGTGATGGAGAGGTGAAGAAGATGTTGCGCATAGAATTAGAGCTGGGGACGAAGTCTAAATGTGCTTTTGGAGTCTTCTGTGATTATTGCATACCAATGAAACTAATAGGGGAGTTCTATCTATAGGACGGCTATATGACCAGCCATGCTCTATAGGAATGTTAGGCAGTCAAGAAATAACAAATATATAGAATGAGAGTCATTAAAATAAGGATATTGTAATGGATGAGTGGTAAGACAAAAAAAGATACAATTTGAAATAATTACATCCAAGGGAACTTAGGGGTGGCTCCAATAGGTGATCAGAGGAAAAGTAGACGTAAGTGGTCTAGCCATGCACAATGTCGACCTAGAACACACCAGTTAGGAGAGGCAATTTGGTTCAAGTGGAAGACTCTTAAAGGGCAAGGATAGAGCCCAAAGGAGTAGAATGGAAGTAGTGAGAACAGACATGGTGACTCATGGCCTAACTGAGGGTATGGCCTTGTTAGAGTAGAATGGTGGAATATGATTCGTGTAGCCGATCCGAAATAGTTGGGATAAGGCTTGAATGTTGATGAGGATGATTATGTATATGCACTTGGCCATCGAGAACCACTAAATCTTGCATGCTTGTTCTAAGAGTGTACCTAAACATAAGTATTAATTACATAAAAACATGTATCATCTAACTGTAGCCGCTACTATAAAAATGAACAAGGAACTTTTCAGACCCTAGCATAGCAGTACCAGTACCATGTCCCCCTTGCAGTACCTGCAACAATACCTGGAAACTGTGCTTCCCCATCATCTCATCAAAACCTACATCCATAACAAGACATGATAGGTGCACACTTGTCTCCCTCTTAGTCACCCTCACAGTTGAGAAGTGATATCTCCTCACATTCCCCAACTACGGCATTTATTTTTACTTATTAATGTAATAAAAAAGAAGCTGCTGCTATATTCTCAAAAAATAACTTTTCAGAACCTAGCCCAGTACCAATACCATGACCCTCTCCCAGTGCCTATAAAATTACCTGAAAACAATGACTCCCCATCATCTCATCAAAAGCCTAGGTCCATGACAAAACATGATAGGTGCATGATTGTCTCCCTCTTAGATACCCTAACAGTTGAAAAGTGATATCTCGTTGTATTCCCGAACAAGAAAATTTCTCTACTACTTATAAGTTGCATACAATAAATGTGTATTAATGCTAAAGTTTAATCTAAAGCAGTGATAAAAAACTTGGAGTCAGGAATGGAGCACAGGGCTCAGGCCTGAGTCCACTAGTCTGACTAGGCCAAGTGTCAAAAAGACTTGGCTGAGTCTAGGAAAGAAATAATGCCGTAACCATGGGAACCTATGAGACCAGCCGGTTCCCAAAGTTTTCTAACAGGACCCGGCAACCTGCCAAGTTCGAGGGATATGAGCAAGTTTGAGTCAAACTCACTAAGATTTAGAATATCAATCTAATATTATATTAAGGGTTATGCGACTAAGCTTTATGTCTCAATGTTCAACAATAAAGCTGGCCTTTGATCTAATGCTCATCCAATTCACAGACGTCTGATGCCTTTGTAAAGTAGACACAAGAATCAACAGGCTTAGTTGGGTACATCCCTCAAATGATAAAACTGTTAGGCACTCAACAAATTACAGATCAAGAAACCTAAAGAAGAAAGACAATAATGTGGCTCAGGGACTATGAAGACCATAATTATTGCCACAGGAGAAGTCCACGACAATAATATGTAAAGTTTTAGAAACAGAAGCAATTGGAACCAGGGAAAAGTAGGGCAGATTATAGATGTTGACGGAGATCATAACTATTTAAAAGAAAAAAAAAATCCAGATGCAAATGCCACAATCAGTAAAGTGAAAATGTTGCTCCAATAATCTGAGATATTGAGTGATGGATGGGGATTCTTTTTATGTAACCCATTTAATAAGGGTCATGGCACCTTCAGAAGTCAAAACTCCCCACTAAAGTGATGTTCCTACTCTTGAAACTTAGTAGATACAGTGAATGAGTATGCACCACATAGAAGTATTTGTGTACATAAAACTAGAATTCAAGTATCATAGCTATATATAGGTATAATGACGTAGTAAACAGCACATCGATTTTAAGATGGGATAACCAGCACATAGATTTTAAGATGGGATAACCTACAGCACTAATACTCACATGAAGTAAAAGATCCCGATGATGGAATTTTAAAGGATGGGAAAAATCAAATGCTATAATTAATAGGTCAAAGATGTAGGTAAAACATGTATGCTAAGTGGCAAAACAATGTATGCAACATTAGGCTACAACCAAACGTTACAAACCAATGTACTAAAAAATACTAATAACTACATGGCATAATGATCAAGAAACTTGCTCAGAAAACCAAATAAAAGGTCAGCAAATACATACAAACTTCCCCAGAAAGATGCAAGTGATTGGAGCCAATCTGACAGATTTAGTCCATCATCTTTCAGTTTCTCACGTCCTCCTTGGGCCAAACGTTCAATAACAACGTATTCCAATATATCATATTCAAGCTGCAACAAGAACAAAAATTATGTGCACATTCAAAACGAAAGAAGATGTTGGAAAAAAAAAACCAATTACAATGTCACAATACCAAGATTACATTCCAAAACCAAATTAATAAATAAAAAAAATGGATACCAGCATAATAGAAGTGTGCCTGAGCAACCATAAAGCATTTCCTTCAAGGTAAGAGAGAACAACTACATAATGATACAAAATAACAACATCAAAGATACTGATAGGGAGTGGGATGAGATCATGAATTCCCCAAAGGTCAATTCTGCATTGACCTCTCCTCTGCCAAAGAGTTAGCCATCACATGATGCTCCCAAAGGATGCAACAAAGAACATGGCCAGAGGCTGACATTCTTGAGAAAATCCTTCAGAATTCTCAATGGCATTAGTACCTTGACCCATTCACATTGGACATTCAATTAATAACTTGCTATATAGCAACAAAAGTCTTGATCAAACGCCCGAGAAACCTGGCAGGCTAAGGTGGTGCAATAAGGGACCATGCTGACTAGATGCAACAGCCAGCACATTGGGTTTTCTAAGAGTATAAGGCTATCCAGAGTGTTTACTTGGTCCTTGCAGACCCATCCAACACCAATTAAATTGGAACTTGCAGATCTTTCCCAAAAAGGTAAAAGTGAATTTGGCAGGTCATAGATACAACCCATTAAGAAAACTCAAAGCCAAAGGTGGATTAGTTATGAAAATCCATTGTCGCAGATAAATTCCTGCATTAGGAGCTGTAAAGTGGTATATATGTCTTATTATGAAACCTTAAGCTTAGAAATTGAATTATATACGAGGTCAATTCGCCCAAGTTTTAGAAATCCACTCACAGTGGGAGGGCTATTCCAAGAAAACAATATCAGCGGCCTACATCATCACTCATGTTTGGGTTGGAAAAAAAAATAGTGGACTATAAAAATAGCAAAAAAGTTTATATAGAGCCGAGGCTCTAAACAATCAAATTAGAGCCCACCTCAAAAAATTTACTAGAAGAGGTTTTTTTTTTTTTTTTGAAGATGTTAACCTTAAATTGATGAATTACTAGAAGAGGTTGTTTTGATGCCCAAATATCCTCAAATTGATCATTTGGATATCAAGATGCATTGACATGAGAAAAAATTGGATTTCAAGTTTTGAAAATAGTGCATCTTGTAACGCATTTTTGGACCATCAATTTTCAAGATTCTCAAGTTTTCATAGATCTGCTCGATTTACACTGTTTTTGAAGCTTTTAAATTTTATAATTAAAAATTAAATATATTTTAAGGCTCTCACAAAGATTTTCAGTATTGAAACCACATTTCTCAACACTATTTAAAGGTGCACTTTACTTTGATTGTTTAGTAGTAGTAGTACTCAGTTACCAATCAGATCTCTTTAAAGGTTTGGGGTCAAGTGCATAGTTACCGGGAACGGGAGTGCAGTTCATGTGCATATTCAAAACAAAAGAAGGTTTGGGGTCAGGTGCATAGTTACCGGGAACGAGAGCGACAAGAGGTCCTGGTTTGGGAGCGCGGAGCGAGGTAGGCTCGGAGATCTGTGCTTGGGGCAACGAGGTCCATATCCCTGACTTTTAGGGCGCGCATTCCACATCTTCACAGGAGCGAATTCTTAACTAAATGGGATCGCTTTCCCCATATGATAAGGATCAAAGCTCCCCAAGTTCACTTATCAACTATATTGTAACTTGAGAGTGAATTCCATTGAAAAATATTTTTAAGTTTTCAAATTCACAAATGTTGGGGTTATTTGGCCATTTAAAGGCCTTAGGAGAGCATGTACTAAAAAAAAACATATAGTGAAATGCTTGCTCTAGTGGGAGTGTGATCCACTTTGGACTGTGAGGCATTTTTAATGCCTAGACACACCTAGGCCTTGATTGGCTATAGCTCAATGTGAAGTCCAAAAACCTGTAGTCCTGGGCACATGTGAACACAACCGATAAGGGCAATCCCTTGATGAGGTCAGAGTTGCGCCTAAGACTGTTGGCCAGGGGACATGGACTTGACCCCTATGTGTGATGGATGGCCTGAGAGGAAGCAGCTCTTTATGGATAAGGGTAATCCTCATCATTACCATCACACAGCATGTACACTAGATAGCCATTCGAGAAGCAGCTCTTTATGGATAAGGGTATGTGACATGTACATGTGTAGAAGAGAAGACTCCCTACAATACTAGACTATGTTGGAAGGACCCATGGAGCATACTGTTAAAATGGAGATTGGACTTGTCATCATGAGGGACCTGTAATCCATGGTCTAGAATTGTATCTCATGCACTTTACTGGTTGACTTTGAAAGTCCAATCATGAACCCTTGTAAGAGGATGTAGGTAATGGGATCTATTAGGTCAGTTTGAGAAGATACAGTGAGATATGGTCTCTAGAGAGGATGGAGTCAGTATATTTGTCGTAATCCTAACTCTATAGATCCAATTCTCATCGAATTTACTTGGATATGTTTAAATACATTTAATTAATTGTCAGAAAATTAAAATGAATTTTTAGACCTCTCTAGATATTTTATTTTATTAAAAAATAATTTTTAAATAAAAAATCAATTTTCTGGATTTATTTTAATCAAAGAGCAAAATAAATTATTTAGAGACTCTATAAAACTATTAGTTGAAAATGGAATTTTAATTATTAGGGGCCCATTGGGGCTCATTGGGCCCACCAATATTTGGGGCGTGGGGCCCACCCATGGGTGGTGCACCCCACCTCCTCCAAACTTTCCTATTTTCTATTATGGCAATTAAGCCATGGGTGGTTTTGAGTTTTTAGGAAAGTGTTTTGTGTAGCGATTTTGATTGCTTTTAAAAGAGAAAGAGTAAGAAAATAATTAGAATAGATTTATTACTTTCTCTACACAATATTTGATGGGAATGGAGTTATGGAAACCAAAGGATAATGGTTCCACCTCATTCCTTTAATCAAGATGGTAGATCTAAGGAATGAATGGATGAGATCTCTTCACCCCCCAGGTCTCCAAGATCAAAGGTCAAGATTAAATTTCATAATGATGGCAAAACCCTAACCCTAGAAACCCTAGCCTTATTCTATATAAACTAGCTTTGGGGGGTTCATTCTCTACACATCTCTCTCTCTCTCTC